TGATCTGCTTGCTGGCATGCTGGACCTGAAATATCGACAAAGAGAGAGAGAGAAACAAACATTTAGAATCAAAACAGGAAAAGCCAATTAAAGTTACAAGCACTTGCCTCCTTGTTTTGACCTTGATGCACGTTTTAACTTGGCAGGTTTATAAAGTCACTGTGCAGGTGAAATAATAAAACAGAGCGATCAGTGTTTACTAGCAAATCTGCAAATGCTGAATTGATCTGAAGCTTGTTACCTAATTAAATAATTCGTAAAAAAAATGATTAAAATATGATTTTAAAAAAAGAACTGGAATAAATAAATGTATGAAGGGACAATGTGGTAAATCAGGTTTCACAGTAAAAGGATGCTTAACTTGTTGGCCCAGTTGTGAATGAAAGTCGCCGGGCCTCCACATCACATCAAGACTTCATTATCAATCAAATGTGGATATATTCAAGGTGCAGTTTTTGTTTTTAAAGCTCAGAACTTAAGTTAGTGGTCGGCACATTTAGAAGTGTTGACTGTATTTCGTACATAATGCTCTAATGTCTCCACAAAGCGTTTGTCCTTTGTTAGCTGCGGCTGCTAAAGGTTACCGAGCTGAGAGAGCTAACGTTAGCAAAGCAAGAGACTCGTGTAGGTCATTTCCTATCCCATGATGACCTCAAGTCCTGTAAACCCCGCACCACGGTTAAAACTCTCACTGATGCAGTTCAGAGAAAGGTGGGAAAACCCCCCTCAAGAGGACTGTGATACGAGGTGACAACCGGCTCAGATTATCCGCGTAACTTTGACTGTAAGATGTGACAGTAAGGCTAACCCGGCTACCCTCCCCTGAAGGCTTCCTGCTGCCGCTGCTGCGTCTTTACCTGAAGGAGCAGCTTCACTCTCTCAATCGGGGCGACGGCTGTTTTGGAGATGGCAGCCGAGATGCCACCGGCCAAGAAATCCTTGGCGAAAGATACAGCTGTCTCATTCATGGTGCGGATGTGTTCTTGGCGTCCAGATAATCAGATATAACCCTCTTTTTTTTGCCCTCTGCGACTGCTGGCCTGCACCGACGAAATGGCCGATTGTGCAGCGGCGTTAGGGATTTATATAACACAGTGTATCGCGATAGAAAACGGGGGGTTGCGCTTGCGACGGGGTGATGACGTATCCCCTGCGTCATTTTTTTTTTTTTTTTGCTGTACCGTGTGTGGGCGAGTAAATCCTGATATTACAAAATCCCACGTGCAGGACACTAAATTTAGATAGAAAAAAAAGCAGCGTCCAACTTGCTCTTATTTGGCTCGGTGCCCCCCCGGAGTAAAACACCCCAAATAGACCAATGAGCAGGGAGGCCTTGCAGTGTGACACCTTTGTGGTTCAAGTCATTCATGAGGAAAGTCAAAGGGTCGTATGACCACGGCCTGTCAAGGACTTCAGAGTCCCAACTCCACAGAGTCTTAACTTCCATTTAAAGAGTCTCAGCCAACGTATCTGTCCACATTAATAGAGATTAGTGATTTCAGTAGGTTGCTTTGAATGCCTGTTTTTTTTTTCTTTCCCCCTGTTGTAAAACTAATAAACCTGTTTGAAAGAAGTCTGTAACTTTTATCCCCAGTAGGCTAAAACTGTTCTTCCAGCCTGTTCGGCATTTTTTTTTTTTTTTATAGCAACACTTAAAGTTGCTTCCTGCAATAAATGAATGTAATGTGTTTGAGCAAAGTACAGAAGTCACGTGTGACACCTGCTCAGCATGCCACACAGGTGGATGAGCTCTCCTGCTTGCACTGCTACAGCTGGTGTTTTCTGGCAGGAGCTTATCTGAGGTTCGCCCCTTGAATGATGTCAATACGTAAGTGCTGCATAGGTGACGAAATTATTCAATACAAGCTTCATTTATTGAGGGTGGACTTGATCATTTTAACATTTCCCACTAGAGGGCGACACGAGACTGAATTACTGTCTGAGGAACATTACTCACAGACCTGCTGCAGTAGGCTATATGAAAACAACAACTGTGAATAAACTTACAATAATATATTTAAATCTAAAACAATAGTTGGTCCTTAAAATGTACTTTTAGAAAGTTTTAGATGTGCATATCTATCTATCTATCTATCTATCTCTGTCTGTGGTCACAGCAAGGGCCACATTCATTTAATTCTCACTGCCAGAGGGCCAAATTGTAGTTTAGAAAAAACAATTACAGTCGATTAAGTCTCAAATTTAACTCAACATATACCAGTGATCTAATATTATTCTGGACATATTTCTGCTTTTCATGATTTCATGGCAGGCGTAGTCATGTTTTCTTTAATTGATGTGTAAAAATTGACCTGAGGGCCACATTGAGGGTTGATGTGGGCCACATGTGGCCCCCGGGCCGCCAGTTGCCCTTCCCTGATCTATCTATCTATCTATCTATCTATCTATCTATCTATCCACCCATCTTTATTTCTTTCTAGAAGTACAATTCATATAATTGCACGTCACTATCTGTAAATCTTCATGTAAGCTACTAACCACATATTTTCCTCGGAGTCCCTGAGCTCTCTTAGGTTTCTCTGGATCGTTGGTGACAATGGCCTCGCTGCTATGGACCACCACTGTTTGTCCATATCCCATTTTTCAAACCCAGCACAGTTTCGGCAGATGGCTGTTCATCGTGAGTCTGGTTTTGCCCAAGATTTCTGCCTGTTAAAAAGGAGTTTTTCTTGCCACTGTGACTTTGATTGACGTTGACGTTGGGTCTTTGAGTAAGTTCTTTTACCTGTATTTTTAATATTTGGTATGAATTGGCTCTATACAAATGAAGACTGATTGATTGACTGACAATCACACAGGATAATTGGGAACATTGTTGTCTTTTATTGGCACTGATAACCTCAATATTTGTGACAGTATATTTGTGACTGTGTGTTTCGGTAGATCATAGTCTCCTGCAGCACTCTATGAATCTCTTTATGCTTTATTTTAAGCTTCATTGAACAGCAGAACCAGGAGCTCATTAAGAAGGTGCAGCTGTTGAATCATCTGCAGGGCCTTTTGAAAGCCTTTTATGTTAAACTGTTTTCTGAGTGGCCACAAAGAGATCAGATAAGACTGCTCTGATAAAACACTAGCTGGTCATCTCACAGTATGAAGCCAATACTTTTACTTTGAGAGTACTTGGCTTGTGTGCAACATAGAAGTGGTTAGTGTGCGCGACCCCTGTACAGAGGGTGGGTACCTCAGAGCAGGCCGCCTGGGTTCGAATCCAACCTTTGGCTCCATGCCTGCATGTCACACACACACACACACACACACACACACACACACACACACACACACACACACACACACACACACACATTATTTCTGACTTTATCCACAGTCCTATCTCTAAATAAAGGCTTACAAAGCCCCCAAAATAAAAAAAGAATAATCTTTCTAAGTCTTGTGTGTTATACACAGGATGCCCAAAGGGAGGCGCTGCTGTGATGCCATAAAGTCTCAAACCTCCCCTGAGAAATCTGCCTTACAACACCTTGTACATACCTGAAGATAACAGAAAATAAGTGAATGAAAGCTGAGTCAGTTAAAAAAAAAAAAAAAAAACCACTGGGAAATAAGTTGTAAAAGATAATTCATTCACTTGTTTTGCAGTATTTGTCTGTTTGAATATAGAAGCAACTTGAGTATAGGAACAGTTTGTTTAGTTCCTGCATGGTGCTGCCATGGTGACTGATGATAATAACCGAGCATTATCAAACACTTTGCTTTGCTGTTGTTTGGTTGGATTTGGATTTTAATGACAGTCACCGTCACTTGTGCTTCTTACTGCCACTTGAGCATGCAGTTGAACAGGATGTGTAAATTAATCCACTAATCCCTTCTGTTTTTTAATCACAGTGACGACAGCAGTGTGTGCACTTTGCATTATAAACTTTGCTTTTGTTCTCTTTTAGCAAGATGCAGCAGCAGGTTGTTGTTTTTTAAAATACTGGTGCATCGTTTTTGCAGAAATATCAAGGTAAGGTATCAAGTGTTGATTGAAAAAAGTAGACACATTTTACAATACATTTAATTAGTCTGTGTTTCCAGTAGAGTAGGCTCTGTAACTACTTGTTGCCTTTGGTTGATAAAAGCAGCTTGTCTAACTTAACTTGTCACTTTTGTTTTTATCTAAAAATATATACTTAGGGATCTTTAATATCCCCTGAAAACTGCAATGAATGTGCTCAATTTTCCTGAACATTTCTACCTCGTATAGTAACTAGACGTGTGTGTTTAACTGCATGTGCGTGATAAGTTAAACTCTTTTGTCTAAGAGAAGCACACCAAATTGAGTTGTACAACATGCAATGAAAATAAAGGTTTTCTATTGCACACAGATCAGCTGCAGGAGTGGAACAAGTGGAAATGTCACAGTCCCAGCTCTGCTGTGAGTCGATATGAATGGAGACGACTACAAGGCTGCAGACTAGTTTCAAGGCAGAGGAGGGAACATATTTAATTCAACATTTAAGCTGCTCATAAAGGCACCTGTGGGAGGAAGATGAACCAGTATATAAAAAACAGAAATATGGTCCAATCACAAAGTCCGGATGGAGACAGACTGTCTCTGCTTCTAAACGCCAAAGCAAATACAGTTGTTGTGGGTATAAATCCCATTATGGCTTTATTAAAATAATGTCAGTGTGAAGGTCAAAGTCATTACTGTTGGGAATTCCATTAAAAGCAGGAAACCTTTAAAACCATTACAACAACAAAACGCTCTGTTAGTAAGGGAATGAGTGAATGATTAGAATTTGATGCACACCCAACCAATCATAATTGACTCTTAAACCAAGTCTTAAATATACACCTGGCTTTGTCCAAACAGTTATTGAATGTTCACGGCTGTTACTGTTCCCCAACTGGAAACATTACAACATATCATCGGCACATTCAGTTTTTTTCATCGGCCAATCAGATGGCGCCTTCAGAGCAGATGCGCCATGCAGTCTCTCTGCGCTCTGATCCTCACTCCGTGTGGACAACTGTGGAGCTGCGACACACGGAGTCAGTGGTCTGACTGACTGGAAATGACTGGTGCAGAGAAACTTTTTGGACACGAGTTAAAATAGATTTCAAGAGATACATTTAACAACAGGAATACGCCAAATAAATGGGACAACAAAAATCGCGAGAGCCTGAATCGCTCCAGTTGAACGCGCGGTTCAGTTTGGCCAACTTTGTGAACTAAACACCATCCGAGCTGCCTCAGTCAGCGCAGCAGCAGCAGCAGCAGCAGCAGAGGAACAGGAGACTGGATGTGGCACAAGGAGACGGGTCAGTGAGCCGCAGAGAGCCGGGTGTGAGTTTCCCAGTGTCCAACTCTCCAATGTCAGCAGACAGGATGATGATCATTGGACTCCTGCTCAACATCTTCTCTCATGGTAAGATCAACGTTTCTTCTTCTTTTGTGTGTTTTAGATGAAGAAAATGTTACACCTACTCCGTGAAATCTGCGTGTTGTAGGGACTTGGATACACTGTGTGTCCCTCTTTAAAACTTGATAATGAATGAATGTATGCCACATCTGTTCAAAGGCACATTACAGACTATACTGAAGCCACCAGAGCAGATAAACACACAGACAATGGATTATATATCTTTTTCTGATAATGATAACTTGGTATATTTGAATTCTGAAGACTGTTTTTTTTTTTTTTTTTTGGCACATATTAGACTGTGTAACTTGCTGGTGTCTTTATTTAAAAAGAGAAAGTGTTGAAGTGGGACAGACTGTGGAGTTTGATCTGAAATGAGGGGATATGTATGATTCCATTATTCCAGCTCTGAGTCAAACTTTTAAAATAGATCATTAAGCAGATGCATTAAAGCATGTTCTCACTAATGTGTGCATTACCTCTATATTTTACATGTGGATGACATCATCACAGGTTCAGATTTTTTTAATTTATTTTAGCCTTGGATGCCTTCCAAATGCAAGAGCCATTCATCTCCACAATTAATGAGCTTGCTGTCCCAGATTGTGGAAATATCACGCATAAAAAAATTTAAACTAAAAGATCTTCCTCCCAAACATGAAGAACTCTGGCCTTGTCGTCTATAAATATTAACATTTCACATACGTTGAGCACAAGAAGATTTATATAAGAACACGTTTCAGAGCTTCATGGCAAATATTACGATCACTTTGTATTGATATTTGACTTAAAGGATAGATGATTCCCCCCTCCCCCAACACACTTAAACACACGCACAAGCTGTTCCAAATGAGTTATAACAATAAGTGATTAATGCGAATGTGGCTGAGAGAGAGCGTTGATCTCAGGTTATTAAAATGATGGGTCATTATTAGAGTCCTTCATTGTTAAAGCCAGAGCACTAACTCTTTTTCATTATTTTGATAATCTATTGTTAACACCGCTCCCCTCTCTGCTCCATGTTGCAGAAAAAACATGCAAATACTATAATTGTCAGGATTAATTCAGTGGCAGAGGAGGCGCTGGCTTCCCTGCATCAAGGAGAACTCAGATAATGTCAGGTGAGGCTTTCCATTAGAGATTAGTATCATAAAATGATGAATGCTGTCTTGTGAAAGTCAAACCTTTCAGACACCCAGTTTATCATCCTCTGTGTCAACCCCCCCCCCCCAGTCAGACACTTCTTTGGAATCACACCAAGAAAAGCAGTTCTTTCTAACGTCTTTTTAATACAAGTCTGAGTCACTGCAGGTGAGAGACAGACTGTCGTTATGTGGAATTCTTCCACTGAAGCCAACTGCAAAATGAATAGTTGGATTTTCTTTATGTGTTGTGAAATCCCTCACACGTTCCTTTGATTTTAGACAAATGTATCGTAGAGCTGCTTCCTTCTTACACATTGTTTGAGAGAAATCTTAAGACTGTTCAGTATGGCAGTAACTCACGATACGATACGACACAATTTGCAATATGTGGCCCACGATAACGATAACAATAACATCAGGATGGAATGATTCTGCCATAATAATATTAATCAAGTATCCTGTAGTCTGATGAAGTATATTAAAGGCCTCTAGAAAGGTTAACTGCAGGGTTCCTGTATTTATTCACTGCAGTTTGGTCTCAATTTCACCTCTTGTCATGCTTCTTTTCCCGCTTTCCACCATTATCCTGCTGTCGTCTTCTAGTTGCTCCTGCTGCTTCTGCGGTGTATGAATGTGTATGAATGGGATTAGTCCCTTCTGATGGTCACTTTACATAGAAACCTCTGCCATCGATTGTGTGAATGTGTAGGTATGAGCTGTGGTGTAAAGTCGCTTTGAGTACTCAGAAGACTAGATAAGATACAAGCTCAAGTCCATTTATCATTAATCCACCTTCTATTCACGATAGCCTCAGTCATGCCATAAGCGCCACGGTGAGAGTCAGGAAGTAGTGAATCATAACATGGCGAGCGCCTTATTTTAATTTAATTATCGATATTTGGCTTCAGGGATTTAATGATTTTTTCACATGAGCCAGGACGAATATATATTGCAGTATTTATATTTTTGTCCTAATTATAAGTCTTTCTTCCTAGAGTCTTTGGACATTCCCTGTTGAGCTCTGGAGGTTTTGTATAAATAGCCTCTCACAACTGTACTCCATTTCATACTCTGTTATTTTAACCTTGTTGTAAATCTGGCCTCACACAAATGTGCGCCTTAAACTATGGCAGTGGGAGCTTAAGAGGTAAAGAGCAGCCGTCCCAAAATGTCTGTCACCATGATGCTCCACAGAGCTCAGGACGAGCCAGCAAAATCTGTAACAATCGCAGGGTTGAAACATCCAAAATGAAAGAGGAGAATTGCACCTGTCTGTATGGATTACAGGCTTTAGAACTGCCCTTTGAATAAAACGCCAATTCCCACGCTTAGGGCCTTGATGCTGTGCAAAATAGATAAATAAACCACATTTCTACATTGAAAAACGTACAACAACCCAACACAATTCAGTATCAATTACACTCCACCACTTCTACATGTTTATTTGCATCTTTATCCAAATTAATCTCATAAAATTATGCATGCAAAGTCTGTATCTGCTTGTCTTTTGACAAAAAGATTGCAGATGTTTGAATTTCCATCTTGGGTGGGTTCCCTTCACAAGTTTAATCCCACCTTTGCATTTTATATGTAGATGCATATCTCTGTTTTCATTTTAATGTTGTTTGTTTGCACAAAATAAAGAACTACAAAGAAATCTGTCTGATTTTGAATGACATTAAACCTGACTTTGACCCCTAGCTGGAAGGCCTCTGTGGATTATTGAAGTCCCAGCACAGAATCCAACTAGTGATTGAGTGTGTCTATTTCTGGTGCTTCATTTAGTGGACATGATTGAGCCATAACACGGTCATCATGAGAGTGATGGAGCTCATTTTCAGGCTGCACACAGGTGTTAGCTGGACTGATATCCACATGCTGGGGCTGTTTGACACTTTTGTGCAGAGGTTTGAGTCCCTCACCCTTTGCTCACAGGTTTAGCCAATCCTCTGCTCCTTTATCTCTCCCACTCACTCTGCTGGGGACTCTTCTTTTTCCTCCCGTTTCTGCTGAGGCATTGTCTTTTAATGTACTCTGTGCCGGAAATTCTGTTTCGTTTAGGACGACAGCACACAAAGATTAAATTGGCAAAGTGCCCAATGGACATGACTAAGATAAGAAACATAAAACACAGTTTCTGAATATGCAATTTTATTCCACATACTTGAAGTTTTACTTTAAAAAAAAATCCTTTAATTAAAAATCCCCCCGCTTTTAACCTTAAAATGTGGGATTCTGAATGACTGAAGTGACCCATTAAATGTTGAATATGTGTTTTGGTAATCTTGACTGTCACTTGCAGAAAACCCACAGCTTGATGGAATCAAAGGATCTGTGTCTCGCTGTCTGGCCAAGAAATCATTTAGCTTGTCATAATTTAGGAGCAGCAGAAGGCAGAATCCTGAAATATTCACACAGCTCTGCTCACTCTGACTCCACCTGATGCAAGTATGTATTTTACCTGGAGTAAAGAGGAGTACAGCCTGCGTGATGTGGCTGCACAATCGCAGCAGCACAGCCCATTAAACTAGACACACTGCTACTGTTGAACCACAAGATTAAATCATGATTCTTACAGTCTTGTAGAGTCGTCAGTCAGTTTGTGTTTGGGCCCTTAAAACAACTCCTGGATCATTCTGAACAAGCAAATTAATTCACAAGCATCTTCAGCAGATTTTCAAACCTTCCAAGCTCTACCTAACAACCTGAGTGTTATTAGGTCAAATACTGCTCCCTTCAGCTTAAACTGTCTGTACTCGTATGCCAAAACAAAGAGGATCTTCTTACCTTGAGTTTTTAAGCGTGCAGAAGAAATACATATAAATGCTGGCACTGTCTCTGTGGGGCGTGCACATAATAATCTGCTGCACCTTTCAAAGCCTCAGTCACGCAGAGAGTCTGTCTTGTTTGGTTTCCCAAAACTAAAGCAAACAAAGGTTTTATTTGTCCATGCATGCAAAGCTTCAGAAGCTCTAAGCAGACAGGCATCCATACATTTTATTCATTCCATTTTCACGTGGTAAGTTTATTTCAGCTGTTTTCTCGAGATTTTTACTTTTTTTTTCATTGTCTTGGGATAACAGCGCTGGTTTTCCCATTATTATAGAATCATTTGTCTCATTATCTCGAGATAGCAGAGCTGGTTTTCTTGTGATCACGGGATCATTTTGTGATAAAACAAAGCAATAGGTCGGTCACGGCCGAACCACGACATGCCATTCAGCCATTGCCCACACTCATGAGGTAAGTATGTTAGTTTAGTGTTTACACAAGATAAATAAGTCAAGCTCTCAAGTAAACAGAAGAGTGAGACTGAGACCTGTCAGCTCAGGGCTTCCTTAGAAACAGTGTTTGCCATTTTCTTTGTAGTTGTGTGAACTTTATGTCTTCAAAAACGCCTGGCTGTACAGTTACATGAAATGGCTGCTTTTTGTGAGGTCTGCTGAAAGCAGCAGGAGCCGCTGGAGGGAGAATGTGGACACCTGCAGTGAGGGAAGATTTACGATTGATTTGTTCCAAATTGGAGGCTGAGTGTTTGAAGAATATACTGAAATCTGGCAGGTGCAGCATCATGGAGGGATTTAGAAGAAGGGAGGGCAACATGAGAAGCAGTCCAAGGCAGGCTGGAGGAAAGGAAGTCAAGGGATCCAGTAGAGGGAAAAAAGGAGAAACATTGAAGTTGACCGCTAAGGTATTTGAAAAGCTGTTTTGCTGAATAAGTGTTTGCAGTTTGTGTAAAAATTGTACTTTATGGACTGAGTAAAATATTTACATTTTAAAGACTTAAACAGAACTTATTCTGTTTTCTTTAAAATGAGCTCTAGAAGGAGAAAGCCCAGGGCGCTGCCTCTAATTTCCTTTATAACAAAGAGAATATGTGCAAACTTTTAAGCATATGTTCAATGTAAAAGTAAAGTTGAACGTTAGAAGACAGTGAGCTGATAGGTGGAAAGTGCAAAAGTAAGAGCTCAGCAGAAATGAAGTGTCAATGAGGGCACACACAAACCTGAATCATCTGTGATGAAGCAGCTTCTGTAGGAAAGTCCTCTGGTCACACATACGCAGAGGAGGCCGAGAGACAGGAAGAGCGATCCAAAAGACACTAAGACTCAAGTCGAAACAAGTCGTTTTAAAGGAACATTCGACCATAAACTGTCTTTACAAACACTGAAATCAGCACAGTGATAATTCATAAACATGCTGCAGTCCTTATCAAACTTTTATCAAGTGAAAAAAAGGTATTTTAACCTTTTGAGCAAGATGACGTGAGTCACATTCTGTTTGGTTTAATTACAGGCTTGGACATGATCGACAACAGTTAAGAATGTCAAAAAATACCTTCCATTCATTTGACATCTGCTAAGTCCATATTGGAAATATATTCATTTTGAATGTAAATTAAAATTGGAAAAAAAAAACATTTTGGCAGAATAATTATTATTTTGACCTGCAAACATGTGCTCTTTTATTCAGCTGAGTGTTCACTCCCATTTATGACTCATGTGTCTGGTACAGTCTCCTACTTTATTTTATATAAGTGATCCATTTTAATTCTGTTAAGGCTAAAACGTATTCATACAGTTGCATGCTCAGAAGCTGATTTGACTGACAAGTGGGCAAATTGTAGATGTTTGCCAGGAGGCTTAATACCCGCATCAACTCCATCTCTTCGCCTGCTTCTCCATTAGCCAGTAGTTAGTTGGAGTCAGTGTTTCCAATACGGCGACAGCCATTGTAAAGCTTCAGAGCACCACTTCAGAAACCAATGGTCGACGTCACTGAGGCTACGTCCATGTCTTATACAGTCTATGATTACACATGTTAATTTCAGTGTTTTTAAGTATATTGCTCTTTATAGTCCGCTCAGTAAAAAATAGTTGATTATCTCTTTAATAAAGACAACAGCAGGCTTTTATGTTGAACAATAATATGCACATATGCACTCTGATCTACAATCTATTGTGAGGAGGCCTTCTGATTTGACTGCACATTGACGTGACTGAGTAGTAACAAGTAGTGGTCATCTTGTGCATGGTTTCGCTTCAACTCCAACTTGTCACCTAGCTCCAGTTTCCTCCTCGAGCCTGTGACTTCCTGCGAATGAGTCCCTTCTGTCACGACTCCCCCAACACACCACAGTCACACTGCTGCCCCACAATCTGGATTCATTGCAGTCTATCACACCCATTAGGAGATATGGGAGAGACCAGTTCACTTCAACATTGGTTTCCTTATATGTGCGTGGAGTTAACCTTCAGCTTTCCCATCTGTCACGGATCGAGAAAACCAAGAGGAGGACCCAAATGCAGAATTAACAAAAATATTCACTTCATGGCTCCTCCCTGTGAGAAATCAGTCGGGTGAACTATAGCTCACATATCTCAGATTCATCTAAAATGCACTTTTTCTTTTTCTATTTTCTTAAAAACATTCACTCCATGCTCAGACCAATAATTCCCTATAAACACACACTTTTATTTGGCAATTTGCTCCATCTCAAACAGCATATTGTAAGAGAAAGTTTCTTTTCCATATTGACATTAACGATGTGACAAAAGGTTCCGTTTTACAGAGCTGATTTTGTAGGTTTTTGTTCTCCATCTGTCTCTCTCTCACAAACTGAATTTGCTGATCGTCTCTGTTCTGTCAAAGCCTGAGGGAGCAAACACTAAGACGGCATAATAAACAAACTGTTCCATCCCCAAACAGATTAAACCTGTTTAGACTGTCCAAAGTTTTGATACTTTGTCATACATAGGTGTTGTCACCTTGACCTTATCAAACTGAGCCCATGACTCACCGCCGTGTGTTACCAACAGGGTTTTTTTTGTTTGTCTCACTTCCCTCCTGTAAACACTCTGCAGCAGCTGTGGCAGGTCACCTGCGGCGGCGATGGCGCGGAGCCTGTGTTTATGATATGTGTAAAGCCAAAGTGAGACTGGGACCTCATGTGGCGTCTAAGATTGCAAAACATGCAGCAGCCGAATTGGATTGCAGCCGCGCTTTGTGCCACCGGTCAGCGGGAGCTTAATCGAAGTGTGTGACCGATTACACCCTGCAGTGTTGGCGTGTGTGTTTGTGTATGAGCTTAAGCAATGTATATTTCCATGTGCTGCAGCATGAGTATGTTTGAGGATGTTATAAGTTCTGATATATTTGTTAACCAGCAAGCATGAATATTAACTACTCTCCAGCATATTTTAAATGCCTGCCACTTTTGTGCAGATATAAACATGCAGGATATAGCAAATTAATGCGATAAAGTGTTAAACAAAAGTGTGTGCATATTGCCTACTCCAGCTGTTTTCTTGCCCTGGATTCACTGTGTTCAAAATGTAATTTGTGGGGACAATTATGTGTCACATTTGAGGAAATTAATTTCCTGAAATGAATTTTTATGAAGAGGCTGTTCTGTTTTTTTTCTCGTTTCCCCCAGGCTGTCGTTGGCCTTCCTGATTTGTGTTTTTCATGGAGCGAAAATCATTATTAAGAATTGATTCATAGTTTCACTTTGAGTCATTCTAGAGAGAACACTGACAATCAAAAACACTCTTAATGCTTAATGAGCACGGAGCGACCCGACTGTTTCTGAGGAAATGTGGCTGCTGATAAGCACGTCGAAACACTTAAAGACACTTGTGTAAACCGATGGGGTGAATTCTTTTAAATACATTTAAAGCTGATGTAAGTCTGCAGTATCTTCAAGCAGCATATGTTGTAGGTGGGGGATATGTTTGCAGATGAAAAGTGTTTGTCTGAAACTTCAGGGGGACAAAACGTCCTCACAGTGAGTCGCTGTCTGTCTGTGAAGTCCAGGGTGCGTCATTGTCTGAAAGCGAAATTGGAAAAAAAATGTTTTGTTTTGTTTTGAAGGGGAAAAAGAGAGAAGAGTTGGAATAAATTGGTTTTGTCTGCAGGATTACTTGTGGAGACAGTGGTGTCTGCCTTTGGTGGAAAGCTTGTTCAAAGTGGAAAGAACCCTGCTGCTGACAGATTCTCCCCATGTGTCCTTTTACAAAGTAAAAACTGTATTTTTAGACAATTTTATCTTTTTTCTTTTTACTTTGATACCAACATTTTTGAAAGCAAAGGTCATATGATTGGTGAAAACAACTTTTCAGAAAGCCATGCTTTGAATTTATACCAGTGTGGCAAGAAAACTGAACACATACAACTGGAGGAGTAAAATCAAGTAGTGTGACTGTGAACCTTTCAGCCAAATGTTGTCATCGTCACATGGGAATGGATTGATTAAGAAATGCTTACTTCTTTGTGGTTCAAGTATTTTTTTCTGGAAGATCCAAGAGACTTGAGAGCTTGCTGTTGAGTGGAGCCTCTTCCCTTTTTTGATGCATGAAACTAACAAATTCTCTGTGTAATACATCCGTGTTTGGTCATCTTTTGCTGTTATCTCAGACTTACTTTGAAATGCTGTTTGGCAGCTGACACTCAAATCTGTAAGCTTGTGTGTTTAAGATGCAACACTATATACAACAGAGTGCAAAAAGACGAAAGAGGTGCGGGGAGGAGGATTAAGAGGAGCCTGACAGCCAGGTCCAGGCCTTGTTGGCATCATTGATTTACAAGACTGTCTTGATTTATGACAGCATGTGATGTGACAGTGAGCAAAGCGGTGTTTGAAAAAGGCTATAAATCGGTTACTCTGCTAACGTAAAAATTCTGTAGTCGAAAACTGAGGCTGATTCTGAGTAGCAAGACATTTCCCATCCAACTGATATCACATAGTCAGAAACATAATGCTCATTATTCAAGTAACTTTTATTTTATTTCATGACATCATTTAAATATTCTCTTTTGTTGATCGGGTTGAACGACTCTCAAATGGCTTGCAGAAAATTATTTTTTAATGATATTTAGTTTTATATCTCGTAGTTTATGAGGGAATCTACCCATGTTTACGGGTGCATGTAGTTTCACGCTGCTATGGAGTGGATTGCTGCCAAACTTTATGCAATGACAATAAAATATCTAACAGCCATTTTCACCTGTACTGTCTCTTTAACTAGATACAGAACTTGATTCAGTAGTTGTGGTTTTACCAGTCGTATTCTTCTAAACAAGTATCTGTACTTTTACTTGTGTAATGAATGTTTGTTTTTCCCACCTCTGGCATTTGATAAGAAAGACGAAGCTGACTCACTGGACTCAAACAGTACCACAATGTCAGGTGTCTGTCAGCTCGATCATTTTCAAATGACTGTATGAACATGCTGCTCTCTTCAGTATAACACTGTGCTGAAGAGAGTATGTTGCATTAATGAAGAGCTACACTGCACGAGTTTGTAAAAAAGAGAGAAGTCAACAAGGAGTCCCAGTGAGACGATAAAAAAATATAAATATGAAAAAATAATTATCACATAACCTCATAGTGTTGTTAGATTATCAAAGAGGCTCTGAGGGATAGTGAGGTTCACCCATGTTACTCTATTACACTCCTGTGCTTCCAGTTTTAGTAGCCATGTTGGATTTTATAGCCACCTGTAGTGCAGTGGAGGGTCTGTGGGGTGCACTCACCTCGCTCTGTTCTCTTAATTACTGCCTATTTAGCTTAAAGACTAAATCTAATGCAGGGACCATAATCACAGCTGCTTAGCAAAAATACAGAAACGCAAGAACCAGTGTTGATTTTGACAGAGCAGCTTTCCCCACCAATAGTTTCCTGCACGTCTTCCAGGTGGTGTGCCAGCTTCTGCGTCCTTGGACTGTCTGGTGGCCGAGCAGAGCTGCATCCAGGTGCAGTCCTGCAAGGTTCTCTACAGGCTGCTGGAGTACTGTGCGGCTGAGGAGGCCGTGTCGCCCCTCGGTGCCGATGCCCGCTTGGAGTGCCTGGAGGCCCAGAACTCCCTGCAGCACTACCGCCCACTTCGAATCTGCAAGTGCCAGCGTGGCTCTCGCAGGGAGGAACACTGCCTCAGGGTGTACTGGACAGTGAGGTTTGCAGGTGGGTTCAAGCACTGGCAGCTGTTGCGTGTGTGGAGGAGGACTCCACTGCATAATCCATGTTGTAAGACTCTTTACCTTTCTTTTAGCGTATGAGGAGTATGAGGTGACTCCATATGAAGAACTGCAGTTGAATCTGGTACGAAACATTGAGATGTCTCGTATGGCCTCCATCATGGCAGGTACTTCACCTCAGCGCAAATACTTCAGAGTTTAAGTATTCAGATTCTCATGTATCATGTGTTTTCTTCTTTTATGATCTCACTCTTCTTCCTGACCTTCCCCAGCTTCCACTCTTTCTGTGGACGGACAAAACCAGTGTCTGAAAGCAGCCCAGGACTGCGGCCTGTATGAGAAGTGTGGCTCCCTGCGGTCAGAATATGTCGTAGCCTGCACCAAGCGAGCAACAGTCTCTGACAACAGCTGCAACCGCCAGAAATGCCATCGAGCCCTGCGGCGTTTCCTCGAGCGCGTGCCAGAGGAGTACAGCTTTGCTCTGCTCTTCTGTCCCTGCTCTGACACTCTGTGTGGGGAGCGCCGCAGGAAAACCATCGTCCCGTCCTGCTCCTACGAGGAGAATGTGAAAGGGGAGGATAAAGTCGGCAAACCCAACTGCCTTAGCCTGCAGAACTACTGCTCCAGAGACGAGCTGTGTAGGTGAGATACATGTGTGGATGAAATGACTGTGTACATGAAGTGACAACCTGAAAGTTTAAAGAGTCCATATTTTGCCCTTTTTGGGGTTCGTATATTTAATCTATGTACCTACTTTTGTACGTTCACAATAGCTAAAGTCTGAAAAAAGTGTCTGTTTTCATGTACTGCTCCTCCTTGCTCCCTCTCTGCTCTGAGTCCGTCAGCTACGCTCTGTTGAGCCCACACTGTTAGACCCCACGTGGGCCAAGTCTGCTCTGATTGGTCTGCCGATCCGCTCTGTCGTTATTGGTCAGTTGCTCAGCACGCGTCTCGGAAATTTCAATATGAGCTGCAGGGCTTGCCACAACGAGCCAATGGGCTTAGATCAGTGATCTCACACTGACAATGACGCCGCACTGACACATTTTTATCGAGGGGGGATAGAACCGAACGTTACATGTGGCTAATGCTACAGATAACAGGAGGAGGTAGGAGAAGCCGCGTTTCCACGGACTTTGAATTTTTGCACATAGATGTGCCTAAACATACACAGGACACTTGGAAAACACACTAAAGGGCATATAAAACCAGAAAAAGCAGAATATGGGACCTTTAAGACACTTCCCAGTGAAGAAATCCAAATAAATATCAAATGAGATGCTGATTCTGTTCAACTTTAATATCAAGTAATTCAGCTTTATTTGATGTTCTCAGTTTATACACACACACACACACACACACACACACACACACACACACACACACATATGTTAGCATGTTAGCATGTGGAACATTCCAGCCGAGAAGAGACAACAGTAATGCAAACCACTTGTGTTTGAAACCTAAACCGATGTACTCTGGTTTTTCTTTTTCTACTGACTGATGTTCTGTAGCGGTCACATGCTTAAAGACATATCTGTGCATCAGATGCAGGGTCAAGGATTTTAACGTCGATGTAAAAAAATAGGAGAAAAAATGCTAACTCATCAGCATAAAGGATTTTGTGACACACTCTGCAGATTTTCCCAAATATATAAAACTGTCTTACATTAATTAAAGTCGAGTCGATGTGAAAATGTTTCAGAGGTTATTAATGATAAGAGACAACGACTACTTACTTGAAACGGAGAAGGTCGTACAAACCCCCTCCTCTGTGCTGTGGTATTAGAAACAGATTTTAAATAAGAAAAGAGAGGAGCGCTAACCGAGCAGAAACTACATTATTTTATTTCACACACATGAACAACATGTGTTCCCTTTGAAAGGCATGGGACAAAAACATGTTCATGTTTTCAGTTTTGGTCAGAGATATTGAATAGATTATTTATTCAGCTCTACATGACAAGCTTTTGTAGTTTGTGTGTTCATGATGAAAGAACAGTAACAAAGTTAGACATAAATTCTCTCCTTGGTAATGTCTGGCTGTCACTGTCAGCAACAAGTATGATGATTGCACGCCTGTAAAACTGCTTAGATAAAACTCTTTTCTTTGGGGCTATCAGTGTTTCTTACACCGCGGAGGAGAATGATTTAGATCAGGCCTCTAAAGAGAAGTTGGTGCGTTGTAGAGCTTATAAAATGTCATGAGGCTTTACTAGAATAACACATGGTTTCAATGTAACATTTGTTTTTAAGACGAGTGCAGAGCTATTGATTTCTCTGTTTCATGTTTTGCGCTCTGTGAAAACAACAGTGTGTTTTGATTCTGTTGTTTTGTTTGGGCTCAACTTGAATCCCCAAAATGAGATTGTCAAAACAGTTAAAAATGCACACTCTGTTTCTCTGTGCTGCCATGTGAAAAACAGTTTTCTCTTCTGTGTTTGTCTTTGTCCTTTTGTGTGTGTGTGTGTGTGTGTGTGTGTGTGTGTGTGTGTGTGTGTGTGTGTGTGTGTGTGTATGTGTGTGTGTGTGTGTGTGTGTGTATTGTGTTTGTATATTGGTGTGCATTTCAGATCCCGGTTTGCTGATTTCCAACACAACTGCCAGCCCTCCGCTCTGTCTGCCTCTGGCTGTATGCGAGAGAGTAGAGCCATGTGCCTGAAGGCCTACACTGGACTCATAGGTGAGACTGAGGGAGAGAAATTAAAGAGGTACAAGAGGCTAAAGAAGGGAATCGCCTCAGAGAACAACAGACTGAGAGCTGTTTAAAGTGACAGTTGATATGTAACTTAAACCGGTTTCATTTAGGCTCAAACATGGTCAGCTGCCGGAAGTTGCTGCTCGGGGGATCCAGTGCGATTCACTCAAGGAAACTAAAAACGACCTAAAAATTTCATTTTTGGGGCTCAGATGGACTAGCGGTTAGGTCACGCCCCATGTACATAAGTTATAGTCCCCCAAGCAGGCAACCAGGGTTCAAGTCCTTTTCTCTCACCACTCTCTTTCCCCGGTTTCCTGCTCTATATATATTTTATTTTCATTTTGATATAATTTATTAATGCCCGAGGGGAAATTCAGGTTTACACTCTGTTATTTTAGGGACATGCTTCTCACACACAAACAGGACCTGTGGACATGTCAGAGTGGGGCTGCTACACACTGCTATGCAAGGAGAGCACCAGAGCAGTTGGGGGTTCGGTGCCTTGCTCAAGGGCACCTCAGCGATGCTTGGGAAGTGACCTGGCAATTCTCCAGCTACCAGACCAACGTCCATATTATGATCCTCACTGGGGCTTGTACCGGTGACCCTCCGGTTCCCAACCCAAGTCCATACAGACTGAGCTACTGCTGCCCCAAATCCACTATCATGTCTAGATAAGCCCATAAAAAATAAATAAAAGTGCACTTCTATCAGTGGGTCCAGGTAATAACATTTTCTCTTTTCCTAGAGTGTATTTTTTTTAAAGTAATTTTGTCTGCCTCTAATTATCAATAAGCAGAGTTTGAAAACTGGTGACAGTGGATGCCTCAGGGCACAAATATTGTTGGCAGTGTGCCTCACACCTTCCATAGAGGTGTGTGCTGAAAATGAAAATCATCTGCCCAGGGGAATTATTACGAAGGAAGTTTTAAAAAGTTGCCCATTCAGTACAACTTCTGTCTTTTTTTCTTCTGTAACCAGGCACCATCATGACTCCCAACTATGTGAGCAACAGCAGCACAGAGGTGTCCCAGTGGTGCACGTGTGAGGGCAGCGGGAACGAATGGCAGGGCTGTCAGCGTATCCTGCACATGTTCAGCAGCAACATATGCCTGCGTGAGTAACATGTCCTAAAGTTTGTACGATTACTTGCAGGGCTCCAATGTCCACCGTTACTAAGTCCAGATGTTACCAGACTGACATTTTTCAGTTGATTGATTTTTAACTTCATATACGACACACCATGAAGGAAAAGTAATTTAACACAAAATAGGTTGTGGGAAAAAAAGGTTTTCAGATTAAAATCAAGAAATGTAAAAAGATCACATGATAGGGGCTGAACGATTATGGGAAAAATAATATCCATGAATATTTTGACAAATAATCAGATCACGATTATCAATCATAATTATTTATATATCTCAGATACAACTTTATTTTATTTTTCTTTCACATTTAAATAAACATGGCATCTCTTGAGATCACTTAATTTAATATGCGTTTTCTATGGACAGAGGATGAATTTTAAATGTCAGTACTGCCGTCAGTCATGTTTATTTTAATGGGGTAGGCCAACATCGTGATGTGTGCAGCACTACAAGGGACTGCAGACGGAATCTAGCTAATCAGCTAAATGTAGTGCAATGCATCGCCTCTCATTAACGAGAGTAATGTAGATTTTGTATGTGGTCTCCATTAAACTAAACAAAAAAACTAAACTACACAAGTCCATATTCATTTCTTTTCTAACTACTGTAAAGCTGTTTTCACATATGCATTCCAGATAATATCTAGATAATTATGGGAGGACTGCTCCAGAGAGCCAACCTGGCCGTTCACATATGCTTCTCACAGCTGGAGACTATCCCTGTCAGAGGGGGGGGGGGGGTTCCAGAGGTAAGAGATGACAAGTAGCGGACAAAGCAACAGAGTCCGTGACACGGCGTCATAATGACAGTATTTGTTTTTATTCAGGAGATTTCTGCTAGTGTGAAAACAATATAAGTGGTATGCTCATTGAACCTTTTACTGTATGTTTATCCACATTAAATCTCCATTGTTTGCTGCCCTTCCTTAGATTATTCCTGTAGTCGAGACTAGTGTTACCCGTTTTGTGGCTTTGAAAGAAGCTTCAATAGATTTGATTATTATTTTTAAGCATGAACATTAAATTACTGTTGCAACTCAATCTGGTAAAGATCAATTTGTCATCTACCACAACTATCAATTCTCTCTTTGTGAAGATAATGACAGAGGAAATGTTTCCTTAGCAGCTGTCAAATACTATAATTGATCTGGACATGCTGCTCTAATATTATAAAGTGCAATAATACTGAATTGTAATGTGGCTTGTTATTGAGGATTGAGGAGGGGAATCAATGAAACGTAATGTGGTCTTCTAAATCAGTGAATGCCATGTGCCTGGTTGTCTTTGAAAATAAGAACTTGATTTTTACTTTCTGAGGAGGCGGTGAATCCTTTCATAAAATCTGATGACTGTAGAATGGCTTCTTGTTGAATTATTGCTTCAAAGACAAAACGAACTCAGGCCAGCCATGTTGTTTTTACTGAAATAAGTGTGTCAGTGTAGACCAACAAGTACACTACTTAGACACACTATTGGATTAAAAATCTTTTTTTTATTGAAATGAATTGTGTAGGTTTAAGAAACAAATATGGAGAAAGAACAACTGAAGGAGCATAGAAAGCCCCTGCTAATTATTGGTTTGCTGTAACTGTCACAAGCCTGTTTGTTAATGTTTAAAAGCTATAACTTCTATTGATCAATTCTTGATGATTTTCTTCCTCGATCTTTGGTGCAGATTAAGTGTGCAGTCAATTTCTCTGTTTGTTGTTCTCTGTTTTTTCAGAGTCTGCAGCAAAGCTAACACCTTTGTGTAGCCACACTTTAAGCTAAATGCTAACATGAGCATGGTGACACTAAATTGCTCATCCTTTTTTATCAGACACAATAACTGGAAAAGGATTGAACGCTCATGAATTCTGCTGATGGTTGTTAAAATAGTTTTTATATAATTAAAATAACTTTTCAACAGTCAACAGGACTCGTTTAGTAGATTGATGGGGATTGTGTGTGTGCTCTTCATACACAAAAAAACATTGTAGGCTTTTCCTTATAGGCCCAGTGAGCAACTCTCCTGGTAAAGACACGTCATCTTTAAATTCATCAGTTCAACTTAAACACCCAAGACTCACAGTGACTACACTGTCATGCTCATGTTTAACTCAGCCTGCTAACATTTGCTACTTGGCAGTTAACCAAAACTACTTCTAAATGTGATGGGAATGTTATTTTTTGGCAAATTTTTTAAATTAAGTGTTGGATCAATTAGATTTATCATTCAAGTTGTTTGTTGCTGCTCCAATTTTAAAGTTAAAAATGTGCAATCTTTGTCTTGAATGCTCCAGTTTAAAGGGCAAATTTAAGTTATGAATACATAAATACTATAAAATAAGATACAATAACTGAGTTAAGTTAAAAATCAGTTAAAAATAACTTAATAAAATATTTTCATTGAGGGCTAAATATATACATTAAAGGCAGTTAGAAATAGTCATAAGTTTGACTCCATGATGGTGCTAGATGAACACTGAGATAACAAACTCAAACTTAAAACAAGACTTGAGCCTGCGTTGGTCTGAATATATAAATATTTATGACATTTAATTGATTCCTGTCTAATATGTGTAAATATGTCAAGTCTGGATCAAAGTCTTGGAACAATATTTCCCTCTGAAGACTTTTATAAATCTCCTTCTCTGCTGAATCCTGAGCAGTATGTACAGAGTTGGCGCCCTAACTATGCTTCTAAAAATCACTGATATTATTTTGGTCATACCTCCAGGATGAATAACGATGTGAATCTAATGAAGATGCCCCCTGCTGATTCTGTTTCAGGCAATGCAATCAGCTCCATGGGAATCTCTGCATCTCCTCCTGTGGAAAAAAACACTCCTGCACCCGCTTCGGCGCCCTCCCCGCACGTCTACCAGGAGAGGGTCCATGTCAGTGTTAACACTCTCCCTGAATTCAACAGTGTAAGCGCGCTCTTTTGCCTTTTAACTGCCTCGCCATATGCTCGTGTAGAGTTGAACAGAAGAAGAGGTTGAGCATACATCATGTTGTAACACCTCCATATCAGCGGGGTTTGGAGAAAATGGAGCAGTGTTTTTGGCTCTCTCCTCCTTCACTTCCTGTCATTATGGCTGAGGATTAGCTGTAGGTGTTTGCTGCATTAGACTCAACCCTTATTGTTAATATTCATGTAGACATCCATCTGCTCAATATCTTCAATGTCACATCAATTTAATCCTCCTAATGTTATATTTCCTCTTCTTCCTTTCACAACCCACAGTCGTGTGGAGCAGTGGTTCTCAACTGTTGTAGCCTCGGGACCCACCACCAACTGCTTCATGACAAATCGCGACACAAATGAATTACATTTGTCATCCAATCAGAGTTATTTAATGACAAATTGTGCAGTTTTGTCCTCAGACGGTACAAAACATGTCACAGAGAGCCATGAAATGGTACAGAACGAATATGTTTAAAATCAATTTATAGACTTTACCAACTTTTGGATCCCGACCCACCAGTTGAGAACCACTTGTGTAGAGCATAGAAAGCATGTTGAACAGTTAGATACACAATTAAAAAATAATGCATCTTAGGTTCCTAATTCTTGTTTAACTCTTAAGTTGAAAAGATGCAATCTAATTCCTGTGATGTCACCACATACTGACACATCCAGGGGTACACACCTACATCCCTGCTGCAAGCTGTAACACAACATTTACTCAGGAGACCGATGACCTAATACTTAATGATGCTAGCATGCTGCTAAGGAGCTAACCTGTTAGCATGTTGACTTCATGCTGACAGTCATTTGCACGGCACACATTACAGTATTTACCGCAGAATACAGGATTATAATTATCATATTACATAAAGCTCCTTTTAAGGCTGGTTATTTCAAACAAACTGGACTTAAGAAGTCTTTTTTTGACGTCTCTTCATGACCTACAAAAACAAACCAGACCGGGATCAACAAGACTGATTTGGTTCTACATTGTTTGTAGTTAAAGCCAAAAAACAGCGACCACAGAGAAGTTGTCAGACAGTGATTAACAGCATGCTGCAGAAACAGACTTTTTCTACACACATAGGCCTGAGCAAGAAAATGATAATGGTATTTATCACAATACAACTTTTCTCAGCGTTTTACAGCACCGTGCTGATGATTGTGAAATGTTCCTCTGTTCAAGTAGAGTTTGTCATGTTCTGACCATAAAGAATAACTCAATCACAATTAACCATCGGGTTTCTTCAACTTTCAAGAGTAAAAATCTGCCTTTTTTTAATTTGAAAGCAAGAATGATTTGACATTTATCGTGATAATTATCGATATTGACTGCTATGAATTTTTTTATCGCGATAACATTTTTAATCATATCGCCCAGCCCTATTTCCACATGATATGCTGGACGGCTTAAAGTAAACCGGTTGAAAAAAACACTTCAAAATCCTCCTCACAGGAGCTTTTGAAATCCCATGTGCAGTACCAGAAGTTATTTTATATACGTTTTCTACTTGGTATAATGTCATTTTGAGGGATGTTAGCTTGCATAGAGTCCTTAGTTTGTGTCCAACGATTGTTTATACCTTTGAAATGTTTTCTTTCTTGATTGCCTTCTTGTCCAATGTTTACAGTCTGGATAAAATCCTGTAATTGTTTACAGCCTAATGATCTTTATGATAACCTGCGTTTAGAGAGCATAGAGAGCATGGGCACAATAAAAGCAACATCTGAATGCTGTGATACGAATACATTTCTTGTGATTTTGCAGGGAAACACACTTTAGGGTCTGTTAGTTGGTCGGAAGTCAGATTGTGAAAACTCTTAGCGTTTGGTTTCTTGGGTTGTTTTGTCTTCAGCTTTAAGATATTTTTACATGTGGTTTTAAATTCTGTGCTGATGTCGACTTTCTCTTGAAGTCTGAATCCAGAACCCTCTCCACGCTCCACCACTTCTCTTAATTGGAAGAATCAATCTTTCCTTGCTTTTTTAGATGGAGGACAGCGAGGAAGAGGAGCGGGACGAGGAAGGAAGCGAGGAATTTAATGTCATCCCTCCGTACTCAGAGAAGGACTCTAACATCGAATCGGAGGCCAGAGGAAGTACACGGGGAGCAGCCAGCCGAGCAGTACCTGTGTTCCCTTTACTGCTGCTGCCTACATTCATCCTGAACTGCCGGAGCTACTGAAGCATCCGTCTGATTTTTCCATCTCCACACACGTAATGCAACACAGAGGACATTTGCAAGGGAGAAATGCTTGATTTCTTTTTCCTCACTTTTTTCATTTTTCAAATACCCAGACTTTACTTTCCTATTCTGTTTCTGCTATCACTGCCTCCTCAAGAGCTTAAAGATATCAGTAGTGCTGCAGTATGTGCCGCGTCTTTGCTCCAGTCCGCTCCTATGAAAGGAAGCCAACAACGTGAGCAGATATATGAGTGCATGGGTGAATTTAGAAGTGCTGTCTGGGCAAATGCTCTATCTAGAGCCTGCTTCACACTCAAAGTGCATCCCCTCTTTTAACAAGAAGCACATCGCCCAAGGCCACATCCTCTATACACACTCCAAAAAAACCCTAACCAGGCTGCTCCGCCGCAACCAGACCCTGAGCACGGCTTTTGATTTCTATTTCATGACTCATGTCACATCCGTTTCTCCATTGCCCCTTCGGCTCTTCCTCCCTCCCTCCCCGCTTCGTACTATGGCTGAGGAGGATAATCCCATTTACAACAAGCTAATAAGAAACTGCTTCACACTTAAACCTCTTTGTACCATCGAAAAAACACTTTTTAAAAAAGTAATTAGTCAAGCAAAAAAGTCACATTATGCATCATCTTATGCCTTTTCATCCTCTGCTTCTCCTCACTTTGTGCTCTAGAAAGAGGGTAAAAGTCTCCCCGCTCTGCTTCTTTTGTTCACACGCCACTTGGTATTATTACTACTGAGGGTGAGTGGTGACAATTCAACCTCGGGCGGACGTAATGAGATCAAATTCCATTGTAGAAGTGACGAGCAGAGAAAAGCAACACGAGCAATTACAGCACAACTCAAATTGCTCCGCATGCAGGGAAGGTCTAGAGTGAGGCTCAGGGGAGGAAATAGCCAATTTACTGCTGTCATACTCTCTCAGTTTTTTTTCCTTCTCCTTAGGAGGTGTTTTTTTTAGTGCTCCTTTTACCCATCATGTGCTTCAGATGTTGTGAGAGCGAGATGTGGAGATAGGGACGGACACAGGAGGCTGTAAAGCCTGCTGGCTGCTCTGATCATTGAGCAGCACATTGAGCCATTCTCTCTGCCTCAAATAGCTTCTGCTGATGTTAATGATTTTTTTCTCTTATGGATCATTTTCGTGTGAAATTACCCAGCTGCGGGGAGGTAAAAGGAAGTATAGCGATGTTTTTTGTGGAGGTTAAGTTTGCAAGAAACAAGCCATCTGAGCTCTGCAAGGATGTTACATTTGATTATATTACCGTCAATTCCTGTATGTATTTAGATAAACATTCAAAAAGAACAGTTCTCTAAACACATCTGTGTTCAGGTGCATAAGAACACTGCACAAACAAGACTTCAACAAAGAATCAGATGGAAAAACTTATCAGACATACTTCATCGTGTCCTCCTGGTTTTAACTGTTGTCACTATGAGGAACACAGCACATCCAGTTTAAAGACACCAGTTCAATCCAAACTTTTTGTTGGATTAAAAACATTTTGGCCGATAAATTTATGCAGTTTAGTAGCCATTGTCAGATTGACCAAAAAGTTAATTTTGGAGCCTGTATGTTATGTAATAACAGCAGTGACAGAATGATGTGGGACTTGAGAAGACAGACCACTGACATCATTAAATTACAAACAAATTTCACCCCCCAACTCTCTCCTCCCCACATTTCCTGTCTCTCTTTTAACTGTCCTATCTAAAAAAAGCAAAAACGCCCCTCAAAAAACATATCTATAAATATAACACTCAAAGCCTTCTTAGACGTTTATATATCAATTGAAGAGGCAATATGGGCCAATCCTTTTCAGCCCCACAGCTGGACTTGTTTACATGATGATTTTCTGAAATGAAAACTGAACTTTTGATAAGGGCCAACAGTAAAAAGGCAGAAACGCACTGGAAGCGTGTGAGCTACACTTTTTGCAAATGCAGGTCCATCACTACTTCAAACTTGAGTTTGACGTTTAGAAGTCAGAGTTGGACTTCAATGGATGTTGTAAGGTTATTAAACCTGTACTGAGTGAGTGTTACCCGGCCGGGGGAAATATGACATCATGTAGGTTTTTTTCTAACCTCAGTCTTGTTAAGAGTTACATTAAAGGAAAGGTGTGAGGTGAAGAGCTCTGAAGTGTGACTGCAAGCTTAGTAGGTGCCAAGAAAATTACTTATTTGGAGAGAACATTTGAAATAAAAAGTCTGCCCACACGACTCGTTGGTATCCAAAAGTATTTGAACCAACACTGAGATGGAGCGGAGAAAGGCTGATACATAAACATGTTAGATAAACATAACCCGTCCTGTTGGCACAGTGCAGTATCAGTCATGCTGCTCCATCAAATATCTCATCTGCAGCTATTCATAAAGCATCTTAATAAACAACATCAAGGGTCAATAACAGCATCCAGTGCGCTCTGGCCTTAATGACTGAATGTGAGTTTACGTGTATCTTCACATTTCTATAAGTTTGTTTATATTTGTAAACTATGTAAAGTAACAGTTTACATTAAACATGGCTTTTATTATTTTGGATGAGTAAAGGAGTGGGGGGGAAGTGTATTATTCATCCATTAATAAAATGTGGTAACACTTAGCGAGGGTCCATGAATGATCATTAACTTAGACATGACTTCATGAATGGCAAAGCAAGAACTCAATCATGAGGCATGAACAAGAATCAACAGTAACTCATGTTAGGGAATCTGGTTTCTATGGTTATGTTCTTTTGTTCTTCATGTCGACAGTAATCAACTCACCTCTCACAGCTCTTGTGTTCTGGTGAATTCAAAGAGAAGTTAGTCATGGCCTAGTGTTAGTCATGATTTGGTGACTTCATCATGTTGGCTGCCCTTTAAACAAAGTGGAGACCTGCTGTGTCTGGAGGCCTTTTCACAACTGCACTTTGCAGGATATAAACGTCCTCACTCGCTCACGAAGTATAACCTGCTGCTTTTACACATTGGCTCACTATGACTAATTGTCGTTATTTTACCAAGGGGGGCCGGCAGGAATAAGGCAGGACAAAGTCGGTTTCAAAAATGTGTCCATTTGCCATCACACATTGAAAAATGTCCGAAAATGTTCAGGAGTTGTGTGAACAGAGCGTTGAACAATGATGAAAAAAAATTCCAACTGACTTATCCAAACTTGATAATTTAATGGAGTTCAATATTTGATCTAATTTATACTGTCAGTCTTTTAAATACACAAAGCCTTACTTACTTATTCATCAGACCTGATAAAGTCAGTCAAGAACTCATTATAATGATAAAAGCAGAAATCTTTCCCCCGTGAAGAAGACATGATCATCGTTGTATATTCCGTTTAGTTGAGCTCTTCTTTTTCGACATGAAGTCATTATAATATTAATGATCATTCCCTCGACACAAATGTTACCCAAAATCTTTTTAAAGTGTTTTGTGAATATTTTCTGAATAAGTTCTGAGTTTTTACCTTTTTAGATCTAGTTGAGAGACAATGTACAGTACAATGTTTCACACGCTTACCTTCTTTTAAAGACATATCAAACATGCCAAATACTTCTGACTGTACGTGTAATAACTGTGTAATTTTGTGACATAGCAGAACAGTGTGCCAATTTGTTAAAAGATGAATAAAAGTCACAGTGAAAAGGCCACATGTAGTTAAAAAAGTGTTTTATTGACTGACAGAATTATCGGTTTACATTTCTTTCCTCTGAACATTTTTGCAGGTGGTTCAGGATAAGTTACATACATCCTGATGTGTTTGGGAATGTTGCTGAGAAGTTTAATGTCAGTTTATTGCAAATTGGTGAGTTACAAGGTTTAAATACATGCTAAAATATACAGGCTCAATACCATTTGGACTTTAATTAGCTTTAATTGTGGACCAACTGAGCCAGGACTGTCATGTTTATATTTTATTTCTGACTGACGGAGGTGATTATAGAGTCTTGGGGCTTCTGCATGCAGAATGACACCACTGTGGCAGAAACAAGCTGCTGAGGAATCGCAGCAAACGAGGCTGTAATGGAAATTGGCATGGGTCTGTGCTTTAATTATAAACAGTACAGCATGAGGCCTCTGGGCTTTTGTTTTCTTACGTTAAAATTCAGCCAACTGTCTCCAAAGTAAAGTTATGCTTCATTAAACCCCCGGAGGAACATTTATGTTCTGCATTTTCACCATTGCACCACTGCTTAGGAGCAATGGGCAGCCACCAAACACTCGAGTCCCCAGGCCAAAGCCTTTAAGAGCTGTATCAGTGGTTTGCATGTTTTAGCCCGTTTACTACAAATCACATATACCCTCAATCCAGGATTAACATTTTGTTGCTTTCAGAAACAACTCTTTTTTTCCCCACACTGGTTTCAGTTCATTTCTCAGTGAGGAAATCAACAAACTCTTGAAACAGGTTGAAGCTGTGCTGACCCTAACGCCCATTTTGCTGATTTGTATATCGTTATGGAGGGGAGACTTTTCACTGCTACTGGCGATGTTGCGATACTATGGAAATTGAATTGACAAATGAGGCAGACATGTCATCGTGAGAACTGCACAGGATTTACTAATAACTTTAACAATGTTCTACTCTGGTCTCCCAGTAGGCCATGGCATTGTGTTAGTGAACCAGCATGCACAAAACCAGGACCCTGAAGTACACCTGTGATTTATTTTGATTTTTTTACTTTGATATGTCATTAAGTCTTTGCATCCTTTTCATGCATTAACTGATGTGTTAAAAATTAATTGTAAACACTGCCAAGTTCTGCAGGATTAGCAAGTTTCAAGAGTTTACCTATTGATATTTTTGCTACAGATACTCACCATTGACTGTAAATAAAGATGGACGTTAAGTGAAATAGTTAAAATATCTCCATGATGGGTGCTGACATATCATGCTGGTGACGTTATTTGGAGCCAGAGTTGCACAGTAGCCTAAACCTGCTCTCTGATAGAATGGTAAGGACCCCTCAGGTCAATCCAGTCCACAGCAGAACAGATTCTTTTGTTGGTTTGATGCAGACACTCCAGTTATGGACTCTTGTGTTGGTGTTGTTACGTCTTCTCTCCCCGTTCGTCCTCTTCTCTGCTAATCTGGTCCAAACAATGCGGCAGGAGGAGCATTTGTGAACAGAGCTGTCAGTCATGGTGTTTTACCCCAAAACAGCACTATTTTATTTGTATTTTAAAAATGAACCAAAACTGTATGAAACCATAAGCCAAGTAGTTCTCAATGTATAGCCTAACTTTAGGATAATCCGTGTTTAGGGCAGAAACATTTTCACACTTGAGTAAAAAATATTTTCATCAAGTGACAGTCATTAAATATGACTGCTTATTTTGGTGGAGAAGAAAAATTATCATTACGAGGCTATTTATGCAGATTCTCCATGTGCCAATTATATTGTAAACTCTATTGAAATGAAGCCACAGCTTAGAAAAGGAAATAAACAAAAATCCAAGAACTGTTTTGCATGCATTTGAAATTGATTGACAGAGCGCATGCTTTGTGGTTATAACTTGCAAACACGAATAACTTTCTTGCAGGACAGTAGAAATACCTGCGTCTGCACAGCACAGCCCCATTTGGGTTCAAACTCAGGACCGTCGTTCTGGGAGGCGACAGTAATCACAACCGAGCCACTGTGAGCCCCAGGAGGCTCTCCAGCTGCCTAATAAAACCCCTTCCTCGTAATATAAAAGATAAGCACTTATGTTAATGTGGTTAATAATTAAGTTAATCAGTGCATTCATTTGCAGATAATCCTATGTCAACATAGTAATTGTTTCACCTATTGCATGTAATGTATTAATATGAACTCAGGCATGAACTCGGGATCTTAAAGCGCGAAGGAAAATTAGCTTTTCTTATTAATATGATAATTTGTGCAGCAAGAAACTCCTCAGTAGTAGAAGATCAGCCCCTTAGTTTCTCTGCATATTTGTGTATTAATGTATGTTACATTTTTTTCCCCTTCCAGATTCACATTCATAAGAGTAAAACAAGAGTCACTTAGAAAAAGCAGTTCTTAAGTACATCATCTGGTAGATCTGATAACCATTTTAAAGAAAACATTTTAACCTTCCAGCTATTGCTGTGAAGAGTCTGAGGGCAGGGGGTTTCACTATCTTACTTCGATAGGTGTTTAAGCATTCAGAAATAAAGAAAGCAAGCTGGGTTCCTGCCATGTTGATATGACATTTAAAGTGAAAGACTAAACTGTTTGTGCTCGAGCGAAATGTAGTCCATCTCTCCCTGACTTGTAATGTCTTGGATGTTGACCGAATGCTGTTTGCATGAAACTATAGGCATTCACAAATGTCACTGTTTAAAAAAGAAAACTTTTCATCAACTTTCATGCGGACACATTTCAAATGATAAACTCTGGTTGGTCAAGTGTCAGCAATCTTTAATCATCATAAAACACAACCTGTAAAATGTCCCTGATTATCCCATCCCCCCCATGAGTGAAAACAAGTACAATGCAGATTAGTCGTATAAAGAACCTCCTTTCTGTTTTGTTTTTCATGCCAGCAGTCACGCTCATATTTTGGGAGATCTTTAAGCAGACTATTTTAAAGTTTGGGTTCTTCTTTGTGAGCATGTTGCTCATTCTCTGTTACCATGATGAACTGAAAATGAACTTCTGACTGTTTCTTTTCAGTTTGATGTTTGCTGCAGGGTAGCTGCATTTTTTTTTTTCACTTTGAGATGTATGATGTGATAGTAGTCTGAATGCAACAGCTAAATGTTGTTCTGTTCTTTGCTAGTATTCGACACTGTGCCTCCTTAGGTGAAGTCTTGACATAGATTGGCATTTTGTGACTTGCTTCCAGCTAAGAATTGGAAAAGAAAATGAAACTTTTATGTCTATATATGCTTAACAAGGAGTTCCCGCCCACAGCCTGCTAACTTAGCTTAAGTTTGTGGTTGACCCAAGCAGCAACCTCCGGTCTTGAAAAATGAAGCCAAGTGCAGTTTATCGAGTGTCTGCTTGAGGCTGGCTCCAGGAACAACGAAAGTCACATACACATGAATGGCAAAAAATAAGTTTATACAGCATAAATAAACATGTTTACAGCCTGGTACAATTTTTTTTTAAAAGGAGCTCTGTTTTGATTTTGAACACAATATGTGTTATCCATAGTTAGGCGCCTAGCTGACATGATTGACAGTTTGGTGCAATGTAATGGTTAATGAAGAGGCGTAAAACCCGCCTCAGCTCCAGCTCTAAGCCTGTCAGTAGGTTGACTGAAAGTTAGGCTGAGACAGCATTTCCAATATGGTGGCTGCTGCCTATGAGCCTCCTGCCTAACAGATGGCTGACGTCACTCAGGCTTTGTCCATTAATACTCACAGTCAATGAAAAACATTGAGGAAAATGAGAAAACTGAGATTTCTGTTTATTTCATACGTACTGCATGAACTCATCATGTAAGCACAGAACACTAAGTTCAGTGTCATTTGGATCAATCCCTCGCCACAGCTGTTATTTCACCAACCCACCTTCACCCACCTGCTTCTCCCTCATCACTTTTTCATCAGAACTCCAAAGGTCAGTCTGTGTTGTGTTCATAACCCACTGTTAGGACTATTAGTGATCGCTGAGTGATCGAAATCTTTTTTCCAACACAATATATAAACTATTCTTCAACTCTTCCTCAAACTGGCACTAAAAATGTTGTTTTAGAGGAGAAAAATTTTGGCTTAACTCCGAGATAACTATGATAACTTTCATTAGAATAGAATAGAATTACTTTATTGATCCCAAACTGGGAAATTGTGGCGTTGCAGCAGCAGGTTATCCAACACACAATATTAGTAAAAAAACACAATGTTAGCAAATCTAAACATAATATAATATTAAATACAAAGTAAATAAGCACTAAAATATATCAAAACTAAGAATGTGAATATATACAACCAGGATTTAAATAGGAAGATTAAATGTAAATGTTCAAAAACAGAGTTGTAAATGGATAGTATTGATATAAGTTAAAGTGCATGAGTGTAGACATATTATAAACAGAAACTATACACTATAACGGCGAGTAGACAGACAAATGAAGTGAACATGAGTGCAGGGATAATTTGTAAATTTAACATGTGCAGAACAGATTACAGTATGGAGAGACAGATATTATCATGATGACAGTTCTCTGCTTGCATGAGGTGAGCTGTTGTACAGAGTTATGGCCTTCGGTAAGAAAGATTTCTTGTATCTGTCCTTGTGACAGCAAAGTTGTATCAGTCTGTTGGAGAAGCTGCTCTGCTGTTTGTCCAGTAGGGTGTGCAGAGGGTGATCAGGATTATCCATAATGGATAACAGTTTGTTAAGAGTCCTCCTCTCTGTCACCACTACAAAAGAGTCCAGCTTGCAGCCTATCACAGAGCAGGCCTTCTTGATGAGTTTGTCCAGTCTCTTAGTGTCACCAGCTCCAATGCTGCTCCCCCAGCAGACCACAGCAGAGAACAGTGCACTGGCCACAACAGACTGATAGAAGATCTCCAACATCTTGCTGCACATGTTGAAGGATCTCAGCTTCCTCTTAAAGTAGAGTCGGCTCATCCCCTTCTTGTACACAGCCTGAGTGTTGGCCTTCCAGTTCAGTTTGTTGTCTATGTTGACACCCAGGTACTTGTACTCCTCCA